TATTCTCTACATATATGATGGAATGAACAATGTATTCTCTACATGTGTGATGGGCTGAACAATGTATCCTCTGTGTGTGGTGGGATGAACAATGTATTTTTGGCCCAGCGTGGATACAAACAGAGCATTTCTCTTAGTCCCTCATAGCCCATGGTGGTTTCTCATGCTGAGTAAATACCCCAAACACCATGTTTGAAATGACCCTTCACAGCATAGATTCCGTATCCCATTCCTGGCCTTATCTCCCACATGTTTGACTCTTGCTGTATTATTGATGCATTGAGTCATTCACTTATTTAAATTAATAAGTAAGATTTCTATGTTTTAAGCCCCTCAAGGACCTTGTTTAGGTCATGATTTCCCATCACCTAGTCCCAAACAGTGTGTTTGTTGCTCACAGTGACCATTGAATTAATGACATATACATTAACTATATGTTTTCTTTTCTTTGTGTGGCTTTTTCAGGGGACTGTTTATATCTACACATTTGGTGCAGAGCCAGCGCTAGATAAAGTCCTAGAATCCTGTGATGGGAAAGTCCTGGCAATGGACTTCATCACACCTGGGACCAAGCATTTCCTGGTAAGAAATGGTCTACTGAGACACTGTACGATCAAAGTTGTTGTGTTTCACGGTTCAAATTTCTATCCACGTGAACTGAGTATCTTTAGACCAAATCTTTGATAGGCAAAGTTTTTCAAAGCCCACATTCAAAGAAAGAGATATTCTGAAAGCCCTATGTCAAAGACATTGGATTAATAATAAACGTTCCAAAAATAGAAATTCTGGGACCAGATGGATAAGGAAAAGAACAACTCCACTTCTCCATAATGCCATTTAGAAGTTCTAAGCAGAAGAAATCCTTCCTAACTCATCCTTCAAGGCTTTCCTTTGACACCTAAGCCAGAGAAAACACTACACGAAGAGCAAACCACGGGTCACTTTAGATTTTAGATATCCTAAGAGGCAGTGACAGCTCATTGCTCCATTTCCTAAGGATGAGTTCCCAGCTTCTTTTCATATACTTATTTCTGCCCATATGTCTTCTTTAGTGTGGAGTCTTTTCATGCTTTTTGCCATTTATGAGCGAAATTGTTCACTTTCTTTTATTTTTATTTATTTTACATCCCAATCAGATCGCAGTTTCCCCTCCCAGCCCCAAGTCCCTCATCTGACTCCCCTTTCTCCCCACCACATTCCCCTACTCCTCTGCTTCTATTCAGAAAAGAGCAGGCCTCCCATGGATATCAGCAAAACATGGCATATCAAGTTTCAGTAAGACTATTAGAATCTTTAAAATCTGAAATGCTGGCCATGACAGGAGGTAGCTGCAGAGCAGCCGAAGCACTCCTTCGTTGCACATAGGTATGGCCGATTTGGAAACTGGTTTGTCAGTTTCTTTCAACACTAGACAGACATCATATGCCTTGGTGGTTATACCTCTTCGTAGTTATCCAAATGGGCTGAAAACATAATGCCATCCAAAAATAAGCTGCATGCGAATGTTTACAGCAGCATTGTTCATCATGACCCAGACTCAGAAAACAACCGAGGTGCTGTTCCACCAGTGAAAGGAGAGACTGTGGAGCAGTCACACAATATGCTGTTGCTCAGCAATAAAAAGAAATAAGGCTGTCAAACCGCCAAAAGACTTGGAGTTGCCATAAGTATATAGTGCTAAGGGAAAGAAGCCAGTGTGGGAAAGCCTACATGTTCTATGACTCTAACAGGATTTTCTGGAAAAAGCAAAGCCTTGGAGACAGTAAAAAATGATCAGTGGTTATCAGGAGTGTGGCGAGGGAGGCTAGGAATAGTCAGGAGGAGACTATTTTTAAGGCAGAGAAACCGTCTTCTGTATATACAGTGCAGTAATGCCTGCCATTTCAAACTCATCAAAACTCTCAGAATGAGCAGCAGAAAGATTGCAGGAGCCCCAATGTAAACTATAGACATTAGCCAGTAACTATCAGTGTGAACGTATTTGCTGTAGCCTGTGCCCCACTCTCATGGAAGCTGTTAACCACAGAGAACTCGGTGTGGGTGGGGGCTGGAGATCCACTGTACTTGCTTCTCAAAACGTCTATAGTCCTAAGAGTGCTCTAAAAGTCAAAGAATTTTAAAAGACCAATATATAATTTCCTGTTGATAGACTTAATCATTATCATTAGGCAATGATCCCATTGAGTTTCCGGGAGATTTTTATTTGAAGTATGATCTTGAGGAAAATATCTATTTCACTTTATTTTTATTTTTATCGGTGTGTTTTACCTGCATGTATGATTGTAGACACACATGTGCCTGGTGTCTGCAAAGGACAAAAGAGGACATCAGATCCTTGGGACTGGAGTTCCCGAGGGTTGTAGACTGCCATGTGGCTGTTGGGAATCAAGCCTCGGTCCTCAGGAAGAGCAGTCACTGCTCTTAACTACTAAGTCATATTTTTCTAGTTCCTTATTTTTCTCTTCTTAACCTGGTTGTGTTATTTAAATCATATTAAAGATAATTTGTTTTGGCCTGCCTGGGTTCTCACAGCCCTGTGTGGGCTGAAGACCTCCACAGGCCCACCTGGCGCCACAAGGGGCTGGGCAGGTAGACACGATTCTGATGAGCCAATCCACGGTGAAGAAATGGGAAAGAGAAGCGGGTGGGCTCATTGCTGTGGAAAGAATGAGAGATGAGGGGGCTGGAGAGATGGCTCAGTGGCTAAGAGCATTGCCTGCTCTTCCTAAGGTCCTGAGTTCAATTCCCAGCAGCCACATGGTGGCTCACAACCATCTATGTAATGAGGTCTGGTGCCCTCTTCTGGCCTGCAGACATACACACAGACAGAATATTGTATACATAATAAATAAATAAATAAATTTTAAAAAAGGGGGGCTGGAGAGATGGCTCAGAGGTTAAGAGCATTGTCTGATCTTCCAAAGGTCCTGAGTTCAATTCCCAGCAACCACATGGTGGCTCACAACCATCTGTAATGGGGTCTGGTGCCCTCTTCTGGCCTGCGGGCATACACACAGACAGATTATTGTATACATAATAAATAAATATTAAAAAAAAAAGAATGAGAGATGAAGCAGCATAGCTGGTGAGGAACAAGCTGATGTGGGGGGCCTGCTTGCCTCTGAGCCATGGTGACATCTGGGCCCAGACTGCAACTGAGGGTCATGTCTGTGTCCATAGCCCTACAGCAGCCAGAGTCTCTGTTGTTGTCTGTGGTTCCTATTACCACAGAACCATGCCTGTTAAAAAGATAAGTTATTTTATTTCTTACATTTTTATTATTTAGTATGTATTGTGTGCATGCATGCATGTGTGAGAGTGTGTGTGTGTGCATGCACATGCATGCCGTCACATGACGGCATCAGAGGACAGTTTGTGGGAGTTGGTCATCTCCACCCACCATGTGGGTCCCTGGATCAAATTTAGCTCATCAGCCTTGGTAGCAAGTGTCTTTGCCCACTGAATGTATCTTTACATTGTAGCCCTGGCTGGTGGGGAACTATATAGACCAGGCTGACCTCAAATTCACAGAGATCCACCTCCCTTTGCCCCTCAACTGCTGAAGATAATTGTTTTAAAAACACAAAGGGACCTCACGTATGATACTTTGTGCCTGTAATCCTAGCATGTGGGAAGGGAGGTAGAGGGATGTAGACAGAGATTTCCGTCCAGTCAGCTCACTCTCAAATAACCACACAGAGACTTAATTATAAATGCTTGGCCAATAGCTTAGGCTTGTTTTCAGCCAGCTCTTACAACCTAACCCATTTCTATTCGTCTATGCACTGCCCCAGGGCTGTTTACCTCATTACGTACTTCCTATCCTGCTCGCTCAGGATCGCATGATCTCGTCCTGACTCCTGAGACTCTGCCTCTCTTCTCCCCAGATTTCTCTTAGTTCGGTTCTCCCACCTCACCTTACCCTGTCAGCTATAGGCCTGTTGGCTTCTTTACTAAACCAGTCACAATGACGTATATTCACACAGTGGAAAGAATATTTCACAGGGGGACTGGAAGTTCAAGCCTAGCCTGGGTTATGTATGAAACCTTGTTTCAGGGAGCCAGAGAGAGGGGGAGAGAGAGAAGAAAACAGGAGGATTTTTAAAAAGGTAATAGTTAACATTTCTTCCGAAAATAAGAACTGAGTTGAATTTATGAATTATTAATAACCTGCACGAACAGCGGAACTTTTAACTGACCTCTCCCCAGGTTAACTACTAGACGATTAGCACGTGCTTCCCTTCACAGAGTCTAATGGTCCTGTTACCTTTCTTTCTCCCACAGACGCTCACAAATTCAGGGGAAGTTGCTATTTTGTGGATAGAAGATTGCACTTGTGCAAGCAGGATTTTGCTGGGAACTCCCGTAAGTGAACCTGATAAATGAGTGCTTAAAATATTTGTTCTGATACCACTCACCTTCCTGTCTCACATCTCAGCCACTGCGTTGTTTCACCCACACAGAGTTAGAGTTTACGAAGCCCTGATTTAGTCAAACCCACCTGGCACAGTGCCGACCTCACATCACACAGTCGGAGAAGGGAACCATCCCACAGGGAGGGGTGGAGACAGAGCAGAAGTTCCCCTTCCCTGAAGGTCCCGAAGAGAGTAAGCCCTGTGAATAAGGAGAGGAGCAGTGCTACTCAGCATAAGCTCAGCCCTGAAGCTGGGTCCCATTCATCCCACAGAAATGATGGGTAGGGGCTTCTCAGTGGACATTCAAGGCTTTCATAGGAAGAAGTCATCTAGACGCTAGCTGGCCAACACCCACGGCACATTGTTCAGTATGCATCACTCCTGCACAATCCACAGAGTATTTTGCATAAAAATAATGCGAAAAACTGTAAAGACCTAATAAATAACAAACGTGCTGGATTTTTTTTCCCATTGCATTTTAGAAGGTAGGGAAATTCCAGCCCTTCTCCCCTACAAAACTAAAAATCTCAATGATAAAAGACTTATGTCTATCAATTATATAAGATATGATATTAAGTATCATGCCATAAAATGTTACAAGTTGCAAAATAAATAAATAAATAAATGATACCTTCCCTCCCAGAAATGTAACAACTAAAAGTCTTGTCTAAAAAGCCATGAAATCAAAAACTTCACATAACCTGTGTGACAAAGGCTTGTATGTACCAATTTCTAGTAGAACTTTTAGAGCTAACAATCATCTCTGTTTGCAGACAAGAAGCAAGTGTGTAACAAAACCCCCAGGAGGTTGTGTAACCAGGATTCACCTTGCTCCTCTTGGACAAGGCGGAATACAGCCACTGTCAGAAGGTCTTGGCCAACCTTCACTGAGCTCTAAGCCAGGCTGATACATGGCTGTGGTCCAGCTTCTGCTCGGGAGACATGGTCTTTTCTTATGGCAGATCCCACATTACAGAGACATGATCATTAGACAGACCCAGTGATGCTGAAGTCACATGTTTCTGCCTCTGTCATGGCTGTTTCCCTGTGAACACTTTAGACAGTGGTTCTCCGTGGGTTCTCCAACCCAGCGCCATCATGGCTAGAGGCCCACACTACAGAAACTTCCCTTCCAGTCTCCTGTGAGAGAGGACCTAAGACTCCCTTGGCTACTGTGATTTCGAGTAGCTCACTATAGCTCTAGAATGGAGGAGAGTTTCAGTTGTTTATTTGAGGAGCATCATATACCCACATGTGCGTGCGCGCACACACTCACACACACACTCTCACACACTCTCTCTCTCTCATACACACACACAAACACACAGTCTAGAGAGGTCCTGTTAAGGTTTTCAATTAATATGTAATAATAAGAGCCCACTGAAGGGAGCCCGGTAAAGGCACATGCTGGGGGAAGGAGGGGTGGAGGCACAGTAATTAAAATGTCTGCGGTGCGGGCATAAGGACCAGGATCTCCAATACCTATGTAAATACTGTGCAGGTGTGATGGGCACTTGTGCTTCCGGTGTGTGGGAGGCATAAACGGGCCCCAGTGGAGCAAGCTGGCAGGCTGGAGAGCAATCCAGGAAGAAAGCTAATGACCGTCTTTGGCCTACACATGCACCCATGTACAGATGTATGTGAACACTCACACACGCACACACACTGCACCCGCAAACTCACGCCAAAAAATAAAAGCTCACTTGGTTAGAAGAAGGATCTGTTCCGAGAGTCATCTGGACACTGTCACCAGCCTGTCCCTAACTCGATCTTATTGTCTTTGTCCTCACAGCAACCGACAAATCCCCGTCTGGCTTGCCCTATTGTTTTCTTTCTCAAACCCCAATACACATGTCCTTGGGTTTCTGAGTCCAATTCTGCATCCTTTTGTATATGAGACTTAGAATCTTTAAGTGGACGCCACATTTCCGTGACACGAGGGACCACGCGTTTCCCTTTTCCCTGTGACACCACAGCTTAGCTTTCTCTTTAGGTTTTATCTTTCTAGTTTTAGCATAAAATACCACCGAGATATTCCCGTGGTTGCTTACGCAGTTAGTCCGATTCAGGAATGCTGACTTTCTGAAAAGAAATAAGTACCAGTGCAAGCTTTCAAGCTTATAAAAAATTCTAAGCATTTGAGGTGGGGCGGGGCGGGGCGGGGCGGGGCGGGGCGGGGCATGAAACTGAGGGCCTGGGGCTCGCTAAGAGCTGGGGCTACCGACCTGAGTCACGTGCCCAGCCCCGTAGGTTTCTTATACGTGGGGCAGGCCTCATTCTCTGGGGTTTATCTTAAACAGGCAACAGCTCTAGCATGCTCCCCTTCCTCCGCGACGGCTGTCGTGGGCACAATGGATGGCTATCTATACTTCCTGGATATCCACAACGTGGAGGCCCCTCGGGTGATTCACAAGATCTTCCTCTCCGAGTCACCGGTGAAGATCTTGACGTAAGCATCTCCTTCACCGCCCACGCTCTCACCAGGCAGCTCTGGACCGGGGCTCCAGCGATGCAACCTTCCTTTCTCAGTTCCACACATTTCATTTATTTTGAACGATCACTCGGTTCAGCGCTTGAAAAGTACAAAGGCACGTATAGTAGACAGTGCCTCACACACAGCTCGCTCCCAGGGGCAGCCTAATACCCGGTTCCGATGTCGCTCTTCACAAAGACATTTTTACCCACAAATAAGCATGAAGATCAGTATTTCTGTTCACTTACATGGTCGTCAAATAACGAGAGAGGTTGAAGTGTGTGCTCTTGTGTGAGGGCGCACGAATGTGTACAAGCAAGCATGCTGGCCAGAGACCAACCTTAGGTATCTCCTCAGATGCCATCCACCTTGTTTAGGAGGAAAGGGTTCTCTCACTGGGCCTAGAACTCATTGATTGGGCTAGGCTAGGTGGCTTGGCCAGTCAGGGCCAGAGATTTTGTCTCTGCCTCCCCAGCTCTGAGATCATGTACAGAGGCCACTATGGCTTTCTGTCAGGCAGGTTCTGGGCTCGAACTCTGGTCTTCATGCTTGAGGGCCAAGCACTTTATCAACTGAGCTGTCTCCCCAGCCCCACTGGGGAATGTTCAGCATCACCATCAAAGTCCAACCTCATTCTTCTGTCTGGTGGCGTGGAGTCCCATAATACATACAAGCCTCGTCATTTTCTCAAACAGTAGTACCCTGGTGGACGTTTAAATTACTCCAAATCCTTTGAAGCAATATTCTCAAAGGTATTTCTACTGATTTTTACATTATTATGGGAAGTAATGAGATGTGTGCTAACTTTTTCATACTTTGTTATCATTCACCATCTGTGCTCTGCTCCCGTTTCCCAGCCCCCTTTAGCTGCCCCTCAAGATCCATTTTCTGCTTTCATGTTTCATATCTCCTCCTTTTCCTCCCCTCCTTAGGATCCCTCTTCCTCTATGGCCCCGTGTAGTTTCATCACACACACACACACACACACACACACTAAAATCTAGAATGAGATGAAGCAGGTAGTATTTGTGTTTCTGAGTCTGGCCTACTTAGTTTAACTTAAGAGTTTCCACTTCTACCCATTTTCTTAAAGATGTCACGGTTTCATGTTCCGTTACAATGATTGTTTCCTCTTTTTCTTTCTAATTTTTCTTTACTGAAAATAGATATTTTTACACAAAATATTCTGATTATGGTTTATCCACCCCCAGTTCCTCTGAGAGCCTCTCCACCTCCCCTCCCTTCAGATTTCACCCCCTTTCTGACTCTCATTAGAAGACAAATAGCTGTCTAAAGAATAATAATGAAATAAAACAGAAACAAATCAAAATAGGACAAAACAAACAACTAGAAGGGGGAAAAAGCCAAGGAAAAAGAATAAGAAATGCATATAGACAGACAGACAGACATGGTTTCACACACACACACGCAGGAATCCCATTACAAGAAATGCATAGAAACAGAGAGACATGGTTTCACACACACACACACACACACACA